CGCGGTCCAGGTGCGATATACAACGGCCCCACTGTTTGGTGGGCGAAACAAAAAGAAGATCAAAAAAGTTTTACAATCAGTTTCATAGCAAAATGGGAACCAAGAACTCAAAAAGTTCCAGGCGGGTGCTTCCTGTATAGGGAGATCGTCCGCTGCTGCATTGGCCTCGCGCCATATATGCTTCAATGAGACATGCATATACACGCAAATGTGAAGTATTTTGTCAAAAATGTGTGCTAGTCTCCAAGGGTAGTCCAAGTGTCCAAAAGCCTAGGTAATAATGTTTTCAAAGTCTCCATCAATGAATAAAACTGTCCTCCGGCTAGGGTTGAAATTCTTGAGACCTTCAAGAAGGGCAAGGGCCTCAGCAGTATTGGAGTCAGCATGGCCGATGAATTTCTAGGAGTAAAGAAATCCGTCCTCTGTGGTCACGGAAGATGTCCCCTCTCCCTGCTGAGCCCGTCAAAGTTGAATTTGGTCTGACCAGGTTCAGGGGGTCTCCACAGGGAAGAGTGAGGGATGCGGGTGGGTAGTGCAGACAGCAAAGCCTGACAATTTTGGTGGAAGTCCATGTAGGAGAAGTGCTTGAAATATTTGTGAAAAGATGACGAGTTCTTTGATCTGGTTCTTTAGTGCCTCCACCGTGGCCATTTCATCTGAGAAGATCATGTTGTTTCTTTCCATCCAAATTACCCAGGGCATGGCTGTTACTGAGGCCCGCCAGAGTAGAATACCTGACTTCGACCATGGTGGCAGGAAAGAGGAGTTGAAGAGGTATGGAACCAATTTCAGGGTTACCCATGAGGCTATGACCAATTGAAAAGTTGCAGCAGGTCTCCCCAAAGTGCCAAAGCCACCTTGCAATGGATAAATATGTGGGGGTTGGAAACTTCGTCTGCTGTGCACAATCGCAGCTAACAGTTAAGGTCAAAAGACCATCCTCCCCTTGGCCATAGGTGATTGCCTTTCCATGTTCCAAGACATGATGACCTTCAATCCTTTCCCCAGCCTAGTCAAGTCATTAAGGACATAATGTCCACCATTCCAATCAGGAATGTGCCCTGATCATAGGTGTGGCTTGTTATGAATGGCCCTGGCTGTTCCGTGGAATATACCAACATTAACTATTCGTTTTCACATTTATACTTCAGTAATAGAACACATATTGTTGTCTCATTTTATGTTTCCTTGATTCAGTGGTTAACCGGAAAGAAACCCAAAGTAAACTAGGCACTGTAACTTCAGTTTGTGTGTGTTATCTGTCCATAATATACGTAAGTCCAATTACCAAGTGTATTTCACAAAATAACAAATCCGACAGCAAATCAGGAAGGTTACACATTTATGATCTTAAATTAGAAAACATTAACGAAAGTTAACATGTCTTAATCATTGAAGGACTGCTCCCTTATAAAACTGCCTCAGACTTTTAATATTATCGCCTCTGACATTTGCCGTGCATTCTCCGATACTAAGGCTCCTCTTGGGAGGCAACAGTCTCAACCTTGAAATACTAATGTCTGATGCTAATAACCAAGATGTATCTAAATAGACCTAGAAGAGAATCTAGACCTCCCCCTACGAAGTGTTGTGCTTTGCAACTCGATTATTACACACATTTATTGACACTAAGGCACCTCCAAGAAGACAACAACTCACACTTTTAAAAAACTATGTTTAATGCATAGTTGTTGGGATCTCCCAACATAGGTGGCGATTTAGCTCCAGAATCTTGCTCCGGTACTCCGGGAATGGTATCTTCAAGAAATCTTATTTTTAAATTCCGGGATCTCAATCTCTACTGTTAGATATCCTGATTCATACTGTTAGGGATCTTGATCCAACCTTAAAGACCAAGATAACAAATTTTCTTAGTTTATATCCACCTAGCAGCACAAATATACTTCGATATAGTTGCATAGCTTGCTTTCTATGAATAAAGAGATCCTAACCTTAAAATGGTATATACAGTCCAAGACTATACAAACCCCTTTAAGGATGTTAGCAAGAACCCCAAGAGGTTGGGATCAAGATCCAAAAAGGTCAAGATCAAGATCCCCAAAAGGTTGGGGATCCCAATCCCTAACTTTTGGGGATATAGATCCCTAACATATGCATTGTACAGATGGCGCTCCCAACTATACGGATTTTCTAGCATTTCAGTATCCCCTGCTCCCGATCATGCTCCCCCTCCGGTCATGTTCTCAATCCCAACAACTACGGTTCGAAGTTAACATACCAGATGCAGTCTAGAAGAGAATGTAAACATTAGTGACCTTCTCCCTAGAAATGAGTGTGCTTAGACTACTTAGGATAATAATCCATCTTCTTCCCACATTCCTAAGCTATATTCCTTGTTTGTGTTCCTACTATCTCTTAAGGTTTGGTGTCGTTTCGGTCATCCCCTTCTTCGATTGGGAGTAATCTACATAAAAGGAAGTCTTAAAAGCTGCATACCAGAGACAAGCCATGAAGGAGGAAATAGAGGCTCTAAAATAGAAGAGTCTTGCAAGCATGTATGTCATGCACTTGAGGAAGTCTAAACCTTTTTAGATGGGACTGCCAGAAGGTAAAAAGAATGGCCAGTGGCCAAAGAAGAGGCTCTACATCATTTGACCAAATGAACAACGATTTCAGTTCTTCTATCAGTTGTGGCTCGTGGATTGGATTTGCATCAAATGCATGGTAAGAATGTGTCTCTTAATGGCATTCTACATAAGATGATTTACATTCAACTGCAATTGGGATATATATTGAGCTCTATATCAGTGTCATCTTGTGAGGGTGATTTGGGCTCAAAGAAGCACCACAAGCCTGGTTGGAGCATTTTCAGGACATTCTTATTTGAAAAATTTAGCTAGTGATTTAAGAGATCCATTGTATTTATCCCTCAAGCATGAGGTGCAATTTTTCTAGTTTATGGTGCTGACATCAAAACTAATACCAATGAATTTGACATCAGAAGTGACGTGCAACACATGTTATAAGAATTAAGAACATTTCTGAATAAAAGATGTGACCGGATTGTATTTCTTTTCTTTTTTTTATGTTGATCCTTGTTATATTTCCCTATTAAGTGACCCTGATTATATTTTCTTGGTCTTGAGATGATAAAGTTTACTAAGGGCAGAATAGTTCATCATCATCATCCAAGCCTAATCCCAACTATTTGGGGTTGGTTGCATGAATCATGTTCCGCCATTTTGCTTGATCAAGCAGCATACCCTCAGTCTGACCATAAGTCATGTTTCCATCCATGTTCTTTTGGGGCCCCTCCCCTTGGCCTTTTAGAGCCTTCCACTTGAACAAAATTATCCTTCCTAGGTGCATAATAGTTATTCAACACAAATATACACATGATTTTGTTCTGCAAACTATCTGACAGACATATGGTGATTGAGATTCCTATTAAGCTGACGGTTGGACTTCATGTTTCAGACGGTTACCAGCATTTTGATGCGGCTTCTTAAAAACAGTTTGTTGAACACTAACTGTACCCAAAAAGCATGGAACCAAACATATTTCATTATAGACTAAACATATTTCATTATCAGCAGTTAGTTTTTTCAGTCACCCAGAACTGAAAATAGGCTAAACACCTACTGTATGCAAAAAGCACTGAATCGAATACATTTCATTATGTGCAATCAGTAGTCAGTTGTTCAGTCCCTGATTGAACATAGGGTAGCAGTTCATTGGAATATCAGGTCATGAAATAAGCTCAATCCACTCTGTAGGTAATGGTCGTTTCTACCTGATTCATCAAATATTCAGTCAACAAACTTTGTTGACTTAGGCAGATTGTCCACACACATGGAAGTCAAGGACAATATATAAGAGACTCCATGGCCTAATTGTTTAGTCAGAAGCAAGTACTGCCAAATCTAGCTCCCATGTGCAATATCAAATGTACGTTGCTCACCTTTGATAAGATAATCTAATTCCATAAGCTTCCCTCTGGCCTTGAAGGTAAGCCACCATGCCTCCCATTTGTTGAGATTGCAACATAGGCAGTTTTCCATGTTAGTACACATGTTTAACTAAAATCTCATTGTATTTGAGAATGATTAGTCAGTAGGTCTATTTCTCTTTCACGTATTGCATCAGACCAAATTGAAGATTTGTCCACCAAGTCATTTACTAGGTGCATACAAGATTATCTGTTAACTCATTTGATGTTCCAGTTTGAATATGGACATGAGGGTATTAAGATCAAGGATTTTTGGCTAATTCTGGACGGTAATTTTTGTGTAACAGTATTTACGTTTCCATGCCAGCATAAATGCTGCATATAAAGGATTTATTCCTCATTTCCTGATTTTTAATTGTTTATTTTATAGTTATCTCTTGTATCACAGTTGATGCTAATCTTATTCTCTCAACTCTAACACTTCATGTGTTCCAAAGTCAAATCTTCCCTGAGAAATGCTTGAAAACATTTCAAATTAGTAACCCAAAAAAGGTTAAAAAAAAATTCTCAAAAAGGAAATCCTTGATCGTCTATCCAAGATCCCATAATGTACAAAATTAACTACAAGCAAGCAAAAATACGAGATCCAATTTCTAGGTGGAGAACTCGAGAAAGAACATATATTCTATGGCGATGAGAAACTTTGGGGCCACATAAAGGAAAAATGTTCACGATGTTGCAAATATTCTGGCATGTAATCTCATAACACATGGTCTAGGGTTTGCCCAAATAGAACTTTATTACGTCAGAGAATGAAAAAGTCAAGTATTTTAGGTTCACCACTTGAGTGCATTATTTCTTAAAAATATCCAAGATCACACTGATCATTCATTGTAAATTAAAAGAGAAGAAAGTTGAAGAGTTTCACCTTCGAAATTAAGTTCGCGTTTCTTATTGTCTTTCATACAATCCAATAAGGAAGCGATGAAGAGAATTGTCTAACAGGATTGATTTACAACACATAATTAATGATACCAAGCAAAATAAACAGACAGGGATATACAATTAACGTAATAGAATGGAAACATACCAGAAAATGAAAGATGACGAGAATGAAGATCGAGATTGCAGCTCTAAAACCTCCATGAAACAGCTGAGGGCCACAGCTTATAATGACTACTGCCAAATATGAAGCACCAATTATGGCAATAACTAGCAATATCATCAAGTAACCAAACATCCTCAAACCAGAGCAAAACTTGAAGAAATTCCATGCCATCATAAACCTCCCTCCTCTATCGAGCGTGATGTAGGGGACGAGACCAGCGCTCCTAACCCTGGTTCGAAACAACCGTTTCCAGATATCTGAAGCCAGCTTGAAGAGATAAGAACGAGGTCTAGGGTTTTCTGGGAAGCCATTTTGCACCTGCGAAGGCTGGATCAGAAGCCATATAAGCGCCTGTAATTTTCATGTGTACCAACAATTCATGGGACAGATACAGGACAGGCAAAACTCAGTCCATTGTTGGGAAAGCAAAGGAAGCGAAAGAGTTACTTTGCTTGTTGTACTTCATGTGTCAACAAATTCAGGTTTAGTGGTCCGAAATCTAAACCCGGTTACTCAAACGATACTAGTTGATGGCGTACCTAAGTCATGTAAATCTCATTTTTGGATTATCTTTTTCTTCTATAACTTCGTTTGTTCCCATGGTACTTGGTACGCGTAACAAATTTGGTACGAAATACTTACACAAAAAATAAGGAAAAATCACATATATGTGGTATTCTTTTTATTATTACCAAAATACCTAATACTTTCCGTTATTACTGGAATATCGGTTATTTTCACTTTATAATGAAATTTTTTAAAAGAGACATTTTTACAGGCTGGAATTTTGGGTGTTCACAAAATGGCTGGAATTTCAGTTATTCAACAACCGAAAATTTAAAATTTTCGGTTTTTGAAAAACCGATAATTTTACCGCGAATAAATAAAACATACAACTATAAATGAGGCTTTTTCTTGATATTTTAGGGTTATTAAAAATTTGTGTCCCCCTAATACATTATCCTACAAACTTTTTTTTCCCCCAATACAATATAGTATCCCCCAAAGTTGAAGAGTTTGGCTCTATGTCTGGTCTTGATTGGTACCTTTCTTACTCTTGCCTAATACTATTGATGAATTTTGTCACAATTAATACAATATTATATTTTTATATTACTATTTATTGTGTATTGTTGATTAGTAAATATTTTTTTGTAAATATTGTTGAAATTGTTTATTTGCATAATTATTTGTTGTTCGTATTAATATTTCTTGTTTTGAGTAGTTTAACAATCGATTTATTTAGTAGTACTTTATGTTGATATATATAGTAGTACATTATATTGTATTTGATGTTTTGGGTAAATATTGTTTAACTTGTCTGCTTGTATTAATATTTGTTGTTTATTTTGTGTTTGCATTAATAATTGTTTTTTTTGTTGTTTATTGAGTAATTGACTTTTGTAGCAGTACACTATTTTGATCTATTATGTAAAACTCACATTTTATGAACCCTAAATTAGTTAGATATATGCAATTTTTTTGTATTCCTTGTTATATTGATTTTTTGTAACACGAATTTAGGTATTCATTTAATACAGTAACATTAACAATGGTTATCGAAGGAGTGCAACTAGCATTTCAATATGGGTGGTCATTTGAGACGAATCCAAAGTACGGACGTGTTGTTTATAAAGGGGAAAAACTGAAGGTTACAAAGTATAATAGAAATAGTTCCTTGGAGGAACTAAAAAGTCATTTTGGAAATTTAAGATCGTGTGATTCAAACAAATTGATTATTATGTACCACAACACAAGCCTATCTAGTAGCCTTGAATTGATTGAAGTAAGTGATGATATAGATGTATCTTTTATGTTGGGAGGAGTGTCTTCGAGTATTATTGTATACATTGCCTCTGCAATAAAGCCGGAACGAAGATCTATGGAATTTTGAACGACAGAACATGTTGGTGATGGCCCATCTCCAAAGAATAGGTACATCTACAATTTACTTTTTCATCTCTAATTTGTTTTATTTAAATCTTTTATGTCCACAAATTATTGCTTCATCTTACACTCTTTCTTTTTTCAACAGTCGGCGTAACACTCCTTTACCTGATCAACATGAGAACATTCAAGTGGTGCCCGAGCTTAAGCTTGTACCAGAGCGTGATATGGAGGATATTGAACCACTTGAGAGCCCATGTAGAGGAGTTGGTAACGAGGTTCAATTGACAAATGGACAATTTTTTGAAAATGTCAATGAGTGTCTGCATCATCTGGTTGATTTTGTTGTCCACAATAATTTTGTTCTAAAGTTTGACAAAAGCGATGGGGGGCGGGTGTGGGCAAGTTGTAAGTCAGAGGGATGCACGTGGCAAGTGCGATGCTTACGTGTTAACAGTACGACATACTTCAACGTGAAGTCCATGATTAAGAAGCACACATGTAATCAGCCACTAGCTAGTAGTGATTGGGTGGCAAAAAAAAATTAAATCCCTCATTATTGACCAACCAAAATTAAAGCCAAAGACATTATACAGGATGTCCAACACGATCACAATGTCAGGCTTTCCTGCATGCAAGCTTAGCGGGGAAAAGAGGTTGTTAGAGAGATGATAGATGGGTTACATGAACAAAAATACCATGACCTCGCCTTATATATGGAGAAGTTCCAAAGAACCAACCCCAGAACCGAAGTTCACATCCACACAGATGAAGGCAAGTTTAAACGACTGGTTATTGTTTTTTGTCCATGCATCATGGGTTTTGTTAATGGCTGCAGGGCATGGGTATTGTTGGGACATTCTTAAAACGAAAATGTCAAGGCATATTATTGTGTCTCATTGTCGTAGATGCAAATAATGGGCTCTTCTCAATGACATTTGTAATGGTCGAGAAGGAGAATTACTAGAGTTGGTATTGGTTCTTAAGTATACTGAGTGAGCTATTGAATGAGTTTCCTGATTTGTCTGCCTTAACAATTGTATCAGATTAACAAAAAAGCCTTCCAGAAACAATAGAAAAATGTTTTCCCACATCTTTTCTAGTATTTTGCATGCTACATATGGGAGAGAACTTCAAGGGCTTTATGAAAAAGTCAGCAAATATTGAAGTGTTGTTGATGCTGTTTTGGAAGGCTGCCCGTAAAGCGATCATTGGTAGGTTTGAAAAAATAATATTTGATATATAGTATACTGACCCAAAAGCATATGAGTGGATTAAGAATATCCCTCTAAAATCTTGGGCAGATGCCTATTTTCCAAGGGCAAGATACAATCATCTTACCTCTAACAGAACTAAGTCATTCAATGGTTGGATTTTATCTGCTCGAGAGAAGCCGATCATTGCAATGTGTGAAGAATTAAGCATACAGTTGATGACTAGTTTTGAAGAGAAGAGGAAGTTATGTGATAGTTGGAGCGGAATTACTTGACTTACGAAAGATAAAGGCAAGATTTGTACACACAGTTATATCCGCCATGAATACGCAGTTTGAGATCTACTATCTTGGGAAGAAGTACGTTGTCGATTTAACTCATTGGACAAGTAATTGTAGAAGATGACAACTCTATGGCGTACCATGTAGTCATGTCATTGCGGCTATTAACCATATGCACTTGGATCCTATTTGCGTTCTGCCTTCAGTATTTCACAGTGAAATACTTTAAAAGGGTCTTTCAAACTCCCTTTGGACCTATCCTGGATGATATTGAGTCGACTGATATATTCAACCGGATAGTGTTGCCAACAAAGACGACATGCCTTCCCTGTATGCCCAAAAAGCAATTAAAAATATCTAAGACTGAACAGTCCTCCACCACCAGGCCTTTGAGGTGCAAGCGTTGCGGTGCAGTGGGTCATAATATGAGGACTTATAGAGAACCGATAGGCCATTAGGGAGTGAATCATAATTTCATAATGTTGTTTGGATGTTTTGTATATAATTATCATTTTGATGAATTAATGAAGATCTTGAATTTCGCGTTGTCAATCTTGTGTTATTGTACTTGGTGTTATGTACCCATCAGTACATGCATTATACTTTAGTGTTAATTGTAGCTGACATGCCCTTCCAAGTACTAAGGTTAATGGTCTCATTCTAGGTAATAGAAAATATAACAAACTCCAAAAAATACGTAATTTTCTAACCCATTTTATAATGGTGTTAAAAAACTATAACATCCGAATATATGACATTTTCGGTTGCTCAATATCCGAAATTGTCTTGTTTTTAGTTCTTGAACAACCGAAAATAGGACATGAGGTTAAAATTTTGATTCTTTATTTTCTGTTGTTCAAGAAAATAAGACATTTTCGGATGTTGAACAACCGAAAGTGTCCTATTTTCGATTGTTCAACAACCGAAAGTGAGACTGCATTTTCCAAAAGCTGGCTGGAATACGTAGTCCTAATTTCAGTTGTTCAACAACCGAAAATAGGCATGAGTTTGAAATTTGAATTGGACATTTTCGGTTGTTCAACTATCGAAATTAAGACTGTGTTTTCCAAAAACTTGCTGGAATACACAGTCCTAATTTCGGTTGTTCAACAACCGAAACTAGACATGACGTTGAAATTTGAATTGAACATTTTTGGTTGTTGAACAACCGAAAATAAGACATTTTGGTTGATCAACATCCGAAAATGTCTATTTTCAGTTGTTGAACAACCGAAATTAGACGTATCGTTTACTACTAGAATACGACAAGTAACTAATTACGGTTAGTTTCGTACTACCGAAAC